AAGACAAAAATCAATGCTTGAGCTTCTGGAGACAGTAGTTCTTTTTCTCTAACCTTTGATTTTGTTATAAATTCAAGAAAGTTGACACATTAGATAATTGCATCACTCAAGGGAAACTTGGGTATGTGACCAGTTCTTTCCTAATGACTCTATCCAAGCCTAGAATGTGAAATGGCCCGCTAAGGAAGTGTATTAGTCTATAGGTCTATTTTGCCAGGATCTCTATCTTGTATCTGTGCAGACCCCATCACAGGAGAGAGAGCCATGGGTTTCCAAACTGCCCATGAAAGCCAAACCTGGGATCTGACCTAGTAGATGTTCTCCTGGAGGCAGAAAAGCAAAATGTACCCACTCTTAAAAAAAAAAAAAAAAATAATGAGATTTAATTTACCTACTGTAGTCAGCAAAATAATGGACTCCCAAAGACATTATAACTTAACACTGGAACCTGTGAATATGTTACCTTTCATAATAAATGTAATTTTGCAGATGTGATTAAGTTTAGGGACTTTGAAATGGGGATAGTATCCTGGATTATCCAGGTAGCCTCAATCTTATGGCATAAGTATTTTCCAGTGGAAAACCTTTTCTGGTGGGGATAGAAGGAAATATTTGACAGTGTATTAAGGGTCAGAAAGATGTGGCTTTGCTAACTTCAAAGTTGATGTTAGAAAGTAATTCACTTACCATAAAATTCACCTGTATAAAGTTCAATATTCTGTGTTTCTTAGCATAATTACATGTGCTATTATTGTGTCCCTATAGATTTTCCTATTCTGGACATTTAATATAAACAAAGTCATAAATATGTGGTTTTTCTGACTGGCTTCTTTCACTTAGTCTAATGTTTTTGAAGGTCATCCATGTTGTATCCCATATTAAGACTTCATTCCTTTTTTTTTTAAGATTTTCTTAAAGATTTTATTTATTTATTTGACAGAGATCACAAGTAGGCAGAGAGGCAGGCAGAGAGAGAGAGGGAGGAAGGGAAGCAGGCTCCCTGCTGAGCAGACAGCCCGATGCAGGGCCTGATCCCAGGACCCTGGGACCATGACTGGAGCCGAAGGCAGAGGCTTTAACCCACTGAGCCACCCAGGTGCCCCAAGACTTCATTCCTTTTTATTGCTAAATAGTATTCCACTGGACAGATAAATCACATTTTGTTTAGCTATTCTTCCGTTGATGAGCATTTGGATTGTTTTCCACTTTGGGGCTATTATGAATAATACTGATATTGACCATTTGTGTATAAGTTTTTGTACGGGTATTGGTTTTTCTTTCTCTTAGACATAACTAGGAGTGGAATTTCTACATTACATGGTAACTCTGGGTTTAACATTTTAGGAGCTCCCCAAGTGGTATTCCAAAGCAGCTTCACTATTTTACATTTCTACCAGCAAGTAGAAGGGCTCCAATTTCTCCATACCCTCATCATCACTTGCTGTCTTTCTGTATTATATTCATCTTAGTGGATGTGAAGTAGTATCTCATTGTGATTTTGATTTGCATCTTCGTGATAACTAATGGTTTTTGGCATCTTTTCATGTGTTTATTGGCTATTTGTACACTTTATTTGAAGAACTATTCAGATTCCTAACCCATTTGTTCTCTGGGTTCTTTATCCTTTTATTGTTTTGTTGTAAGAGATCATTTTTATATATTCTAGGTAAAAGTCCCTTTTAATATATGTGTTTTGCAAATATTTTCTCTCTTTCTGTGAGTTGTCTTTTTCACTTCCCTTGATGATAAACTTTGAAGTGCAGAAGTTTTTGCTTGTGATAAAGTCCAACTTCTTCATTTTTTCTTTTGCTGTTTGAGCTTGTGAAGTAATATCTAAAAAATTATTGCAAACCCAAAGTCATAGAAGTCTATTCCTTTTTTTCTTTCTAAGAGTTTTATAGTTTTTAAAACCTATTTTTATGTTATTACATTTAGTTAATGTGATCCATTTTGGTCTCTGATCTACCTGAGCTAGTTTTTATATATGATGTGAGGCAGATATTCAGTTGTCCCAGAACAATTTGTTAGAAAGACAGTTCTTTCCTCTGTTTAACTGTTTGGCACCTTTGTTGAAAATCAGTTTACCATAAATATAAGATTTTATTTCTGGATTATTATTTTTTAAGATTTTTATTTTATTTATTTGACAGACAGAGATCACAAGTCGGCAGAGAGGCAGACAGAGAGAGAGGGGGAAGCAGGCTCCCCACTGAGCAGAGAGCCCGATGTGGGGCTCGATCCCAGGACCCCGGGATCATGACCTGAGCCAGAGGCAGAGGCTTTAACCCACTGAGCCACCCAGGTGCCCCTTATTTCTGGATTCTTAACTGGAATTGATAGTTTTCATTGATTTGTCTGTCCTGTGTCAGCACCACCCTGTCTTGATTGTAGTAGCTTTTTAGTAAGTTTTGAAATTGAGAAGTGTGAGTCTTCCAACTTTGTACTTCTTTCTCAATATTGTTTTGACTACACTGTCTTTTTTATATTTTTATATTAATTTTAGTATCAGTTTGTAAATTTCTGCAAAGAAGCCAGTCAGGATATTGATAGGGTTTGCAGAGAATCTGTGGGTCATTTTTGGGCAGATCTTAATAATATTAAATCTTCCAATCCGTGAACATGGGATATCTTTATGTTTATTTAGATCTTCTTTAATTTCTTTCAATAATATTTTATAGTTTACAATGTACAAGTCTTACACTTTTTTGTCTGTTTGTTTTATATGTTTTAGAATGCACCTGCTGTTACAGTGTGAACATCCAAAAGGGAAATACAAAATGGCCTGGCTTCTTCTCCTAAATTCACCAATAGGGCAATTCATTTCCTCTCCTCTGAGGAGGAAAGAGGATGGTGGGGAAAGGAGGGATGGAAAGATAAATGGAAGATTTATTTCAATACAGTTTTCTCCTAGGTCCAGAAGTTCTTTTTTAAGCAAAATGACCAGAGGGACATAAGAATTCTGTCTATTAGAGAGAACCTGATGATTGATTAGATGTGATAGTTAAAAAGAAGTGTCAAAATCATTCCCCAGTTTCTTGTGTGAGCTTGAATAAATAGTAGTACTATTAGATGGGAAAGACTCAGAAGAACTACTTTTTGGGAGAATGGATTGAGATTAGTTTTGGACTAGATGTAAGATGCCTTTGAAATATGTACATAAAGATGAATATGTTGGTTGGTAGGTATATAGATATGGTCTTCGTTGAAGGCTAGTAGCAAAGTTATTTTAGCTTAATTAGCATATTAATGGTAAATGAAAATATGCAGAGCAGTTGCATCATCTAGGGACATTTTATAGTTTTATTTAAGAACAGAACTAGAACTAAGTTTTGGGGAATTCCATTACTTCCTGGAGAGATAGACCAGGATGAGTTGGGGAAGTTGAGAAGAAATAGAGATGTCTATGGTAGGGGGAAACAGGAGATTATAGTGTCCTGAAATCAAGAGCAGAGAATGTTTCCAGCAGAAAAGATGGTGCTAAATACCACAGAAAGTCAGATAAATACAGCAAGACCAATTAAATTTGATGACATTTGGTGACCTTGGCAAGAATCATTTCAGGAGATTTGTGGTAGGGTAGAGGACAAGATTCTGAAGAACTAATAAAACAGAGAAAGGTACTAAATTAGAAGTAGTGTCTGTGAATAAAAATATAGAGAAGTAGCTGGTGGCTACAGTTAACGGGGATTTTGCCTGTTTAAAAGAAGAGAAAGTTGAGAATGTTTAAATGTTGATAGCAAAGAATCCACAGAGAGATGAAGGATAATGATGAGTTAATGATGTGAGGCAGTCCATAGGATTAGGTTCTCAAGAAGGCAGGACTATTGGTGGCACATGTGTGGCTTAGTCAGTTAACTGTCTCACTCTTGATTTCGGCTTAGGTCATGATCTCAGGGCTGTGAGATCGAGCCCCATGTTGAGCCCCATGTCAGCCTCCACACTGGACATGGAGTCTGCTTAAGATCCTCTCTCTTCCTCTCCCTCTGCCCCTCCCCCCACTGCCCTACTCTCTCTTGCACATGCTCTCTCTCTCCCCCTCTCTAAAAAATAAAAGAAAGGAAAAAGAAGGGAGGACCGTTAAAAAATCCATGAGACAAGTAAAAGAATGATCTTCTTAAATAAAGAGATCATCCATTTTTCACTGTGGAAGGATACATGCATTGATGCACTCTCTTAGGTTTGCTGTTTCTGAAGGTTTGGGTTTTCTCTGTGAAGCAGGAGGATGAAGTCACTGACTGAAAAGGCTTTGGGAGGTAGGGGTGGGGATGCTGGAGATTTAAGGAGAGTAGAAAGTTGGGTGTACTACTTATGATGACTGGAAGAAGGAGTCAACAAAAGAGACATTGCAGTATTGCTGGATGGTATTGAGAGCTTGGTGTCTGTGAGTGTAGGAGGGGATTATTGAGGAAGAAATTTCAAGCGATGTGATGGATCATCAGTGCAGATGACTGGGGCACTAAACCTAACATGAAGAGATGGTGGGTTTAGAATAAGGTCACTTACAACTCTTATTTCCAAGAGGAGGCTAAAATTAGTAAAATCATCTTCCATGGAAGAATTTGAGAAGGACTTGATGGTTAGGAGTGACAATTGCCAAATATTCATCTTTATCTTCCCACAAGACAAGACGGTGTTTCCAGTTCTGTTCTGTTATAAAGAGCGAGCCAAGGACAGTTTTGTAGAACCAGGATTCCTACCTTGGTTTCCTCTTCCAGCTGCCTGGTGCTAACAGCTTGGAGTATTTTCTTACAGTCATATGATTGGTAACTACAATTCAGAGCAAGACTCCAGACAGGAATTTGTGCCAACCAATTAGAAAAGGTCATCACACTAATCCTAAACTGTACTAGGGGTAGGGAGAGATGCAACTGGCAAGGCTAATTTTGTCATGTGGCATGCAAGGGCATGTGGTAAGCCAGTGGTCCCACCTTATCTTGGCTAAGAGCCTATAATCCTTGGTTATGATCAGATGTAGGGGGAAGGAAAGACTCATACTAAAAATCACCATGAAGTTAACTGTATTCAAGAGCAAGCCTTCAAGTTTCCCTAGCCATAAAGAATTCCAGAATGCTATGGCAGACTTGCTGAATTATCCTCCTCCTCATCACTTGGTGAGACTGTGGGTGTGTGTACCTTGGCAACCTCAGTTACCCTGTGACATGTTTCAGTGGGAACATTTATCACATTATGTGCTGAGAAAAGTAAAAGAAATGGGAGTTGGCTGAACCGAACAAAGTAAAGCCAGGATTGTTGATCAAGGAGTCAAATTACTAACTCTCAGATAATACCCATGTGGTGAATGCATTTGTCACTGGATTAAAATATTAGGTGTGTTTTTCTCTCTATGTTTTAAAGAAAACTAGTTGTCTTAAAATGTTGTAAAGAGACTTGCTTCGTGACAGGGTATAAATCAACACATGTAGTGGAAAATCAGAATGTATTTTAATTAATATTAATCTCCTATGCTTCTTAAATGCCCAATATTTGGAAGTGACACAAGCTCATTTTTGATTAGGAGGTTTGAAAACATTTTACTTTCAAGTAATTGACTCAGGGTAATAATGGTTGAAAGCATTACTACTTGGTCATGGCAATAATAATGATAATGATAATAATTATTATAGCTTCTGTTTATTACTTACTTTGTGCAAGGCACTATATCATCCAAGCCATACAATAACCTTATAACCTGGTACTGTTATTTTATGCTAATTATTTTACGGAAGTCTTGTTTAACCAGCAAGAAAACTGGGCAGTACTAAATGTCTGGCTAGAATTCACACCAGGGTATATTTTTCTCTAGAGTCTATGCTCTGCTATGTTCTGCCATTTTCTCTGTGACATTTTAGTCTCCATGCCTCAGTTTCCTCTGTATAAAATAAGAATAATTAAACTTTAATTTCATTGGGATTTAAGGACTGAATGAGACAATACATGTAAAATTCAATGCCAAGTGCATAGAAAATACTCAAGCAACTGTTAGTTGCATGAATGCCCTAGAGTAAATAATGGATCCATTAGAAGTTTTGCTGCTTTTGTGTTGTCTGTCCTGATAAGCTGTCAGTTTGCACTTTGACTTGCTTTTCTTGCAGTAGCTTTTCTTGCAGTAAGAGGGCTAACCTATCCACAAACACTTTCTTGGGATCAAAAGCTCAGATCAACTAGTTGGTGCATGGGGCTACAGTTATAAAAATAGAATAAAGTAAAGTCTAAATGGCCTAAAAGAGAACTACATTCTTAGCTGCAGTTTTATAACAATATGCTGTATTTAGCCGAAAGGAAAAAAAGCCTATAAAAAGAACAGTGTTTAGCAACAGGCTCTTTGAGAAGGGTCTGGTTAGTTAAAACCACAGCTTTCTAAAGTGGGTTAACAAAATCAGGACCAACATAAGAAAACCTGTGAGCATGCATTCCTGTGAGGATTTTTAGGATATGAGGTCATCTGCCTCGTCTTTGCTTTCCCATATATTTGGGAAGTTACCATTTCAAATCTTACTTGGGAGTACTACTCAGCAGCAAAGAGGAAGGAATGTTGATACATGCTAAAATATGAATGGGTTTTAAAATAATTATGCCCAGTGAAAGAAGTCAGACAAAATAAGATAGTCTTTATGATTCCATTTATATACAATTCCAGAAAATGAAAAGTAATCTATAGTGACACAAAGTAAATGAGTAGTTGCCTTGATACAGAGTGGGGGGGGGAGCATTATAAAGAGGAATAAAGAAAGTTTTAGAGAGTGATAGCCTCACCAATGTATCCAACTGATCAAAACTTACCAAAACTCAACAAACTGTACACTTTAAATATGTGTTTATTATAATTCAATTACACCTCAATAAAGCAGTTTAAAAATTTTCACAGGATAATTTAAAAGGTTCTTCTTTAAAATTGTAACTTTATTATTTTTTCCTTTAAACCTATTGTCAATCCTTTTTTTTTTTTTTTTAAGATTTTGTTTATTTATTTGAGAGAGAGAGAGACAAAGATAGTGACAGAGAACACAAGCTGGATGGAGAGGGAGAAGCAGCTTCCCTGCTGAGCAGGGACTCCCAGGACCCTGGGATCATGACCTGAGCAGACACTTAAACAACAGAGCCACCCAGATGCCCCTATTGTAGATTCTTATTTGAAAGAATTTTGTGTTTTCTGATAACCTAAAATTTCTGCATTGATTTTAGAATTAGCTCTCAGATTTCCCTTACTCATCTTTGTACTCTCCAACCCACACACGCAGGTAAACACATAAACCGGTTAACACTTTGATGAACTGCACTGAAAGTATACATTAATTTTGGAAGAAAAGACATTTTTATGATATTGAGTATCATGAACCATGAGTATGGTGTATCTCCATTTATTTAGATCTCCTTTAATTGTCTTTCAAAAGTTTTACAATTTTCTCCATAGGTCTTATATGTTTCTAAATATTTATAATTGTATTACTATTGAAAGGATATTATTTTTGAAAAATAATTTTTTCTGTTGAAAGCTCATACAAATGCAATTGGTTTTTTTACACTGATTTTTAATACAGTAATCTTTTATTAATCTAATTTTTAGAGTCTTTGATTCTTTCAGGTTACCTAAGTAGCCAATGATAGCATCTATGAATACTAAGAGTTTTTAAGCATTTTTGCTGATTCTCATGACTTTCATTTCTTTCTCTTGCCTCAATGTTTGGGCTGGTTTCTTTAAAACAATGTTAAATATAAATGGTGATTATTTCTTTTCTTCTTACTCTTATTCCTAATCTTAAGGGAAATGATTTCAGTACTTTATCACTGAGTATGAGTTTATTTTGTAGGAAGATTTTAAATCACAGATTCAATTTTTTTAAAGTTATAGGACTATTAATTTTCTGATCTTTCATTAATCAATTTTACTAACTTACATTTTCCTAGCATTTATTTTCAAATTTGTTGGCATAAAGTTGGTCATGAAAGTCTTACTACTTTTAAAATATCTGCAGCATTTTAAATTATATCTATTTGAGCCCAAATTATGCTTATGAAAGCGTTCTCTTTTTTCTTGACAAATTTTTAATTTTTACCAATTTTAAAACTTTATAAGAACTTTTAACTTATGTTAAAGTCTTATAAGTTTGTAAGAATTAAGAAAATTAAGTTTATAAGAATTTTATAATTATAGAAGTAACTTTGTATTTGCAGATCATTTCTATTTTATATGTGTTCTAAATCTGAGCTACTAGGAGAGAACTTCTTTCCTATTATTGTGGATAAACTGCTCAATGCTAAGTCTAACTTCTTCATCTGTGCATTAAGTTTTATACTTTTCTCCTACTCAAAGACACTGGCCTGCCAATTCTCCTCTTTCCCTGTATCATCATATTTCCCCCTGTTATTGGAACATTTCCATCAATGTAAAATATGCCATTATTTTTTCATCTTACAGCAATAACAACAAACAGCATCCTCTTGACTTCACTGTTTTTTTTTTTTTCCAACTGCTGTCCTATTTCTGTTCTTTTGCAGCAAAACTCTTTTAGAAAGTTGTCTGCACTTGCTGTTTCCAATGTGTCTTCTCATTTTCTTTTTCTTGAATCCAGTCAAATCAGGCTTCTCACCAACCACTGCTCTGAAATTCCTTTCTTCTGGTCGCCGCATTGCTGAGATCGTGTTACCATCTTATGATCCTCTTCTTAGTTACCTGATTAGTAGCATTTGACACAACTTGCTCATTCTCTCCTTTGAACCACTTTTCTTCCTTTGGTCCCAGTACAACACATCCAGCTGGTACCCCCCACCCCCGTCTTTCTGGCTACTGCCTCTCAATCTGTTCTGCTAGTTCCTTCTCATGTCATCACTGTCTAAAACTTTAACCCTTAATGGCTTAATCTTTGGAATTTGGACTTTCTTTTATCTGTACCACTTTTTGGTGATATCATCTAGTATCTTGGTTCTAAATATCATCTATATTCTAATGACTCCAAAATTACATCTCCATCTTCTATCTTTCCTCAGCACACCATTGTTAACTCTACTTTCTATGTGAACACCATAAACCTTCAATATGACTGGTGGACAAAGTGGCTCTGAAGGTTTTTGGAAGTCAAAACCAGTTCAAAGTCAGTGCCTAATAACTTCTGAAATATCTGAGTTTTTCTTTATCCTATAGTACAGACACAGTGGGAAAAGCTCAAGGAAGATTTATAGTGTATATATGTGGCAGTGTAGCAGGCTGTATTCTCAAATGAAACTGGTCCCTCACTTTAATGAAAGGGTTCTGGAGTTATGTATGGAAAGTGGGAGAGAGGCATTGTGTCAAGTCATGTCTGATTTCCAACAGCCTAAAAATTATTTTTTTTATAGATCAAGTAACATCTTAGTAAGCTATCTGCGCATTTCATTCCTAGAGACCCTGTAATAATAATTTGCCACTGCCAAAGATACCTGTAAGACAAAATATGCAAACTACCAGTTTATTTCTTCCCCCCATGGGGTAAATGTATCCACTTTGCCTCTGTCAGTTAGGCACTGACACTTGGCCTCTGAAACTGTAGGATCCCATTGCAAATCAGGAGAACATCTTGACAGCAGCATCTTCCATTTTCATACCTTTCCTACAAAAAGCAGCAACCAGGGGGCTCTCCCAAGATTCTGGTTCTCCCCTTACCTATGTACAGCAAGTGTTCTTTAAGCTCTCCCAGTGAATGTAGCACAGGTTGAGGGTAGTAATGAGGTGGAAATGTAGGTCACATATGATAAATCTGCTCTAATATTCTTACCTCCTTAAGCCTTTTGGAACTGTTATGCATTTTGCCAGGGATGTTCTGGCATCTTGATCTCATTAAATGCAGGCTATCGAAAAGTCAAGGGCCACTCAACCAGAATAAGCTATTAGAACCACTTCCAATCAACACATTAAGTACATAAACACCATCAACACATCAAAAGCAATAAATCTGGTGTTTTCCAGAATTCTATTCCAACCTTCTTGGTCTAGCATCTTTAGAATCCATTTGGAGTCTTCTCTATCTTTTTCCTGAAATTGTTCCGATGCAATCAGAAAATCCATCTCACCACAGTCCTTGTTACCTGTAATGCCACAGCAGCCGAAAGGTCATAGTCACTTAGTTTCCCAAGGACC